GGCACCCCTGGCAGCGCTGCCCAAAGGCTCCTGGAGCTCTGGCAGCCTCGGGGCCGTGCCCATTCCCTGGGCAGCCTGGGCAGTGCCAGCACCCTCTGGGGGCAGAGCCTTGCCCTGAGCTCCAGCCATTCCCTCAGCATCGCAAACCCCTGGAATTTCAGCTGTATTTTTCTTTCTGGCTGCCTCAGAACAAGGCCCTACCATCAGCTGGGCGAAAAGAGATAAAAGTGCAGAGCCACAAACTGCTGGTTTTTGCTTCATCAGCTGCACGCGGAGCTGGGGACAGGGAGAGGAGCCAGCACAGGCCTGGAGCTCAGGCAGAGCTGCCCAAGGCACAGCCACACCAGGCACGGACAGAGAGATCCCCAAGCTCCTGGGATTTTCCCAAGGCTGGGAATGCCCAGGTCAGGCTTTGCTCAGCTTTGCTTTAGGAGTGAGGAGGGTGCAGCTCCCCTCCACACTGACAGTGGCATATCCTGGATCACTGGTGTCTGCCAGGGCTCCTTATTTGATAAAAATGGTTTTTTTTGATCATGCCTTTCCCTCTGTCACCACAGCCCCACTCCAGGGTCTGCCTTTAAGTCACCAGCGCAGTAACCCAAATATCATCAGGGAGCAAAGGACACAAATGGGATCTTGTTTTCAATAAGCAAGGCTAAACCTTCTGCTCTCATTCCTCACCCCATTTTTAAACAGCCACACTTGTATCCCTGCCCCAATCCATCCAGAATGGGCATTGACACATCCCACCAAAGGTGCCTTATTTCAGTTTCCCCAAAGGAAAATTCCCAGCATGGGACAGGGACAAATCACACCAGGTAATGTTTGCAGACAACTGGGTCTTTATTTTAGTATTTAAAGTGCTACAAAAAACTGAAGGAGCCTTCATGTGGCAACTTCCTTTTCTGCAGTCTTAGCTCTGTTGGGAGAAGCAAACACAGCTCATTAGTGGAGTTTTTCAGTAATTAGATGCTGTACATCAATTTCAGTCAGAGCTGGGTACTCACAGCCGGGCACTCGATGGCACCACTGTTGATGTCATCGATGATGTCGTGGGGGTGTCTCCCATCAATGCTGCAGCCCACGGACTGGGCAGTGCCCAGGATCTCCTTGATGGTCCCTGCAGCAGCAGACACAGCCTGTCAGTGCTTTACATCTGAGGAGCTTACCCGGGACAGCCTGGGCTAGAGGAAGGTGTCCCTGCCCACGGCAAGGGGTGGAACTCAATGAGCTTTAAGGTCCCTTCCAACCCAAACGTGGATTCTGACAGAGCTCCTCAGAGCTCTCATCTGTCCCTGTTCCCTCAGAGGTTTGCAGGCCGAGCCTCAGGGCTCACCAGGGATCTTGAATTCTCTTATCCAGATCTCACACCCTGAACTCCCCCAGGAACACACTGCAAACTCCCTGTGCCCCTCCCTCCCCGGGTGTTGAGGCTGCCTGTTTGCAGGCAGCATAACTCAGCTGGGAGCCCTCTCTGCCAGGCCATGGGGCATTCCCTGTGCCCCCCAGGCCATGGGGCATTCATCCCCTGTGCCCC